TGCGAGCCAGGTGTGGCTATTTTGATGGCTGCATCTGGTTCTCTCGGAATGGGAATAAGGAACTTCAGATTTTGTGATTTCGGTTCCTCCAATGACGTGCCACCACCGAGACGCGTAGCAGAATTAATTTAATGTCGGCCAATCACGCATCTGAGTCAGAAAGGTTCCCGACGTCTGCTGTAGACAGCGGGAAGATTTCAGACTCCTGAATTACTGCATCATTACGTTGAAGCCGACTCCTTTCCCCCATCGAGTACAATTCTTTGATGTTACGGACATCGCGAGAGCTGGAGGCTCGAGTATTTTGCCAATTTCCGGCGACCCACAGGCTGGCCGCCCTTCGCAATTTACGTTAGGCTCCTTTGTGGCGGAAGTGCCTGGAAGCTGCGGTGCTGTCGTGGTTTGCGTTCAGAGAAGGAGCTTCTGGCTGACGCACCTCATACACAATTTCCCCACACCTTCCCTCCCTCAAACATGGTGTGCATAAAACATGTTCGCGGACCAACGTGTCCCGACGTGTCTCCAAAATGTGTGATTTTAACCACAATCTTGCGTCCGGGCTTGCAGGGTACAATTAGCACACCTAAAATGTACGTAGTTTGTAAAAAAAAACCATATTCAGTGTTTTGGTCTTCGAGCGAAACTTCTACGTAACAAGATTTTTGACGGCAAAATGGCAAAGATTTGGGGTTCCACAGAATCAGCACAGGAACTAGAATCCATAGATCCAGCAGCTCGAAATTTGACTCCATTATAAAGGCCCAAGTAGTTGTCTGCCGCGCTGAAAGAGTTTACTTAGAATAGACAAGTGTTTTAGCAGGGCATGGTGGTTGAGAAAGTTAACAGTAGAGGATCGTCTTCTTTCAAATGTTTATTAACCGAGGACAGGTTCTATTTTTGACGTTTTAGTAGTTCTGAAAGTGTTGTAGTCCCTCGCAGGCTTATTCATGCACTAAATGATTTGTCAGTTTAACATTGCTCCGTCCTTATCGTGCGTTTTGTAGGATTGAGACCTCTGCCGGAGTCGATGGTCTGTCGACGACTTTGATCGGAATAAAGCAGATAGCACATGGCAGGAGACCACCAAAGCAACTGAAAACATCAGTTGTGTGTCAAAATGTAGTGCCTTTGAAGTGGCTACACCTTCCTATAAAATAAATGTAATAGCTACATTTTCACGCATTTATCCATAAAAAAAATCAGGGAAACTGTATACTCTAAAGTGGCAACAATTGCTAATCTTGATTTAGACGAGTAATCGGCATGATGATCCCCAGGAGATCAGCATCTGACCATACCGGGTGGCAGCATATTACATCCCGATTCCTCTTAATGAAGGAATATGGTTATTCCAACGCAAATCAGTAGATTTCAAGTAATTTTTGTGAGACTATATAAATAAGTATGCAATAATATGAAGCCTTGCTGAACTTTTTGAGTACGTGGTAGATTTTAGGAAGCCAAATAGTAATAGCAAGGCTTTTATTACGTACTCGGAACTGTGCTGTCACTATCCTAACGCGCATATTAGGTAAAAAAATCCATACGCTGTCCATAATTATTGACTTCAGTTCGATTACCGCCTGTTTCGTCTCTTTACTTCTCCCACTGTATCCAGCAGTCACGCGTACGCCAAAACCAGTGAT